CTTTTTATATTTGGTTAATTGCTCAGGTTGAAGATGAGTGGAGCTATGCTAACATTACATGAGTTTAAAGCTGTTAAAATGAGATAGAATGAGTTGATGATCTTTTTTTTATTTATTTTTTTCCTCACAGGGACTTGAGAACATCCCTGATGGACGAGGAAAATGAAAGTCCCCGATCAGAAAAGTTTTTTCGTTGTACGTCAATAAATTACATTTACATTCAGTTGTTTGTTTTCAGTCTTTTAAGGCTGTTGTCCTTGTTATCAATTAAAACTTCCATACTGGAAATCTTGCGAGGCTCATATGTTAAATTTCAAAAGACGAGAGATTGTTGCTCTAATATAATAAATACTTTACACCTGGTATATTTTGTGGAGCTTCTATTAACTGTAGATGTGTCATTCACTTGTACAGGTGATAATGTCTCACCTGAGGATAGATCAGTATCTGTATTGAGGCTAGTAATAGTTCATCTTAAATGTCCTCTTCCTATCTAAAGGCCTCATCACAGTCAGCAGAACAAACTGCCTGCCATTAGACCTGACACCATTGGTCGATTTTATCAAGTAGCTGATCTACAGAAACTAATCGCTAACTATTTTTATAATCTGTTAATCATTTAGGTCATTTATTATCCAAAAAGCGAAACAAATAACTGTTCCAGTTATCACATCTGAGAATTTGCTGCTGTTCTGTTTTATTTTATTGTCAACTGAATATCTTTTGGGCTGTTCAGACAACACACCACCTGAAGACATCAGCCAGGCTTTGAGAAGTTGTTTTTCAGAATTTGATAGATCATCAAGTCAACAAATAATCATTGCAGCCGGCCAGACACCATGTCCACATTGAAAGAGTCACCCCTGTTGAATTACTGTCCCCATCCAAAATATCTCATCAGTGTCTGAACAAGAAACATACTGGATTTTACCAACAGTACCAGCTCCAGTTAGTTGCTGAAACAAGCTGAATATTTCCTGTAGTAGATTAGGTCATATGAATTGGCATAATATTAAATATTGCTGTAATTCTGTGGTTCTGAAACAGGACTTTAGGGTCATCATATGTGGTAAAAGATAAATCTGAGAGGTCACTAAATGATCCACAAATAGGACAACAGAAAACATTTATGCTACACAAAATAACATTTCATTTCTCAGGCATTTCTCTCAACTTTGCTTGGAAATATTTATCTCAGAGCAACCAAACTTGTGAAAAGAAATGTGAAAACCACAAGATGACTTGATAATGAAATTTTATTTATGGTTCTGACCAGGATCATTTGCTAAAATGTACAAGAAAAAAAATAATGAAACAATTGAAAGGAAAGACCAGTTCCGTGAGTAAATAGGATGGATAATAATAATACAACTGATTACCATTTCAGACACATTTCTTTACAATAAAATCCTCCCTACACACTGCACATTCCTTTAAAGCTGAATGTGGTTATCCTCCAAAACAAATAAAACTTTACTCTTAAGTCACAAAAACAAAAGATGTCCAGTAAAGGGTGATCTAGAAATGTGACGTTCACTTCTCCTCCTTGCCTTTGGTTTTCCGGTAAACCATCTCCCTGAAGCTGGACAGGATCTTGCTCTCTCTCTCTCCTCCTCTCCTCCCTGGTTGAAGGATGCCAAAGCTCTCTTTTCATCTGCACTGTAGATCTGGTTCTCCTTTCTCAGACGCACAGCCTCCATACGACGATGTCTGCAGGGGTCACGTTCGAAATTTGTCAGTAACACAGTAATGACAAGATGGACCAGTATACAATATTTTATATATTGTGCATAATCACAGTAATTAAAACACGCAAGCTTGTTTGAAACCACGGCACCATCCCAAACACATACTGAAATCTATTTTCTACAATAATATGATATATTTGCAGAGGTGGCTGGAGGCAAAATGTAATTCAAGTTTTCACATTAGGTTGTGTGATCAGTCACCTTCATTTAAGTCATGCATTTCTTTTTCCAGTGAGGCCTTGGTAGTTAAAGTGAATTTTTAACTGTGATAAAGGAAAAATTGGTGGATTCACTGCATCCTACCGATACAAGTCGTATCGTGGTGTTTATAGTTCCATTTGTAAACACTGCGTACCTGCTGCCGCTCATCACATAGCCAGACTTCTCAAAGTTTGCGATCTCGTCACTGGTGAGACCGATCTCTCCTCTTCTAGGGATACGTTTGCCTGCTTTCACGTACTCCGCCATCGCAGCACCTTCACCTGGCAACAGTGCATGGCCAAAACTGGAAGGAGAGGGAAAATTAAAACAATTAGGCAACATTTACCTAAGGAGAAACAAATTTACTTTAGGCAGAAATAAATACTACAAACCAAAAGATTTTGAATGTGCTTCTTCTTCTTAAACCTTTTCATACAGCTGCTAGTAATGTTATTAAGACAACTTCTAGGTCTGCAGTTAATGATTATTTTCATTTTTATCCTGCAGATTTTCTATTTTCTTGATTAATTGTCTGGCCTACAACATGTCAGAAAATGGACATCACAAGTTCCCAAGCTGACCTTTTAAAATCTCTTGGTTTGTTCAACAAACTGTCGAAAACCTATAAATATTCAGTTTACTATCAAAGAATTTAAGAAGCCGGAACCACTACATTTACAAGACTTAGAGTCTACAGCCTTGTCTCTTGAGGTATATGTTTAGCAGGTAAGTATTTTACCACATTAACGTTCTGAGTTTAGCGAGTTAGCATGCTAAAAAGTATTGGACAAAATTGAAATTATTGACCTGATGATGGAACTACATCAGGCGATCCAAATTATTACAATTATAACCCTGAGGGGGGACATGAATGTGCTAATCTTCAAGGCAATCCATCCAGCAGATGTCGAGACATTTCAGTCCCAACCATAAAAGTCAACCTCAGGGTGGCGCTAGAAGAAAAGTCAGGTTATCCCCAAAGTCATAAGGATTCATCGTCTGGGAACCACGAATGTCTGGACTAAAATGTTGTGCAAATAGATGTTGAGATATTATTATTATTATATTAATAGTTTATTTGTATAGGGACAGATACAAAAAACATAGATTATTACATAAAAATAATCTGATGCCTGTATCACATTGTTTATAGCCGTGGCTAATTTGCAAAACACCTGTCCCTAGAAGGGCTTTTAACAGTTAAGATAGTGAAAGAGTAAAAATTTACAGTGAATACAATAAAATGTCCAGAAACCAGTTAGCACCAATAAGAGTTAGTGTAGTAAATAAACACATTCATTCGAGCTCACACAGATGCACACCTCACATACACAGATATACATTTCATATGGCATGATCACACCACTGCTTGCTTGTTTTTTGAAGGTGGAAAGTTTAGTTAAAGTCTTTATATTTGTAGGAAGACATTTCCACAGATTGGCTCCTTTCACAGAAAAAACTTTTTGGGCAAAAGATGTTTTATGAAATGGAACTTTACACATGTAGCAGCTCTTGTTGATCTGAAGGGTTCCAGCCTGTTCAAAAATTTACAAGGTGGCTCAAGTGCAAGTCCAGTCAAACATTTAAAAAACAACTTTATATGTCTAAGATTAACAAAATTAACAAAGTTTAAGATTTTATGTTTAGTAAATTTAACAGTGATGGAATCAAATGGGCTTTTTATCTAAAATGTTTAGGGCACGATTATAAAGCCCCTCAATAAGCTTTAGGGTAGTTTGGCTGGTCTGGGACCAAACAGTACGACAGGTGGGACAGGATCATAGTGTTCAGAAAGACATGAGCACATTCAAATGTCAGACAGCTCCTGATCATTCTGAAACAATTCATACTGGCCTTCATTTTTCTTGAGATGTTTTTGATATGACTTTTAAAGTTTAGCTGAGAATCTAAAATCACTCCTCAACATTTTTCTTGTTCTACCTGATCGATGAGTTCGCTATTCATTTTGATGTTAATGTAATTTGTTGTCCGAGTTCTTTTTATAGAAATATAGAAATATAGAAATATATATATATATATATATATATAATATAGTTTTCTTCAGATTAAGTGTTAGACAGGATTTGTTTAGCCAATTAAACACATTCTCAAGACTTTTGGTCATTGTACTGCCAATAACAGCAGGGCTTTTGCTGGACACATAAACCACAGTGTTATCGGCATACATCTGAAGGCCAACTTCAGGACGCTTGTTCACATACAGGCTGAAGAAAAAAGGCCCCAGTTTGGTTCCCTGAGGGATTCCGGTCTTAATTTTACATGGGGCAGATTTTATATGATCAATAACTACATATTGTTCTCGGCCTTGTAAGTATGACTCGAACCATGATAATGCCTGGTGTGATATGTTAAAGGATGACAGTTTTGAGATAAGACGGCTATGGTTTACTGTATCGAATGCCCTCTTTAAGTCCAGGAATACTGCAGCCACGATGTTTCCTTTATCAAGCGGCTGCACAATATCTTCCAATAATGCGCAGATGGCTGATTCAGTGGAATGGTTCTGTCTGAAACCATACTGTTGAGGGTGTATATTGATGTGTTTCTAAATATTCAGTTAGTTGTTCTGAAATGATTTTTTCTAGTATTTTCGACATTACTGGAACTAGACTTATTGGTCGATAGTTACTGACGTCTGCGGTATTCCCGGACTTAAAGATGGGTTTAACCAGTGCCTTTTTCCAAGCATCTGGAAATATTCCAGTTTTAATAGAGACATTTATAATGTGGGTCAAAGGTTGGATGATAATTTGAGCATATTTTTTGAGGAAAGCTGCGTCTATGTTGTAGTTGACTTTGGATAAAGTGGTATTCAGGTCTGAAATAGTTTTCAATACCACTGCCTGATCCACTGCTCTAATTTTAAAGGAATTCTCATTTGCTGATGATAGTATGTTTAAGTTGCTACTATTGGGCTCGCTATCTGAAAATTTAGAAGCAACATCTTGTATGGATTTAATGAAAAATTGATTAAAAAAGCATCAGCAACAATTTCCGTTAGCTTCAGTTAGAATTTTAATATAATAGTTTGCTTAAGAGTTGCACAATTCTTTTACTACTTGATTTCGTAAACCTTTAAATAACTTCAGGTCTGTGTCAAATCTGGTTTTAAGGTTGTTTTTTTAGAGCAAAATCTCTTTTTTTAATTAGCTGTCGCACTGCATCACTTACCCATGGAAGTTGTACTTGTCTTTGTGGCCTTTTGCATTGTTTTAAGAACTTATTTAAAATATTACTCATTGTAGAAGTAATATATCACATCACTCATTCACTTGACTATGTTGTGAGACTTCATCCCAATTAGTGTTTGCTAACTCATTCTCAAATTTATTAAGATCCTTGCGGGGAATTGTTAACTACTTTGTTGTCTTTTCGTCATTTTTATATTCAGTTAGATGCTTTGAGAGTTTTCTGGAAATTAATATCATGTTATGATCGGATAAGCCACACACCAAATTGTATGTTTTTAAGACTCTTTCAGGCTTATTTGAGAAAACTAATTCTATTACCGTCTGTGATGTTTTGTCAGGCGAGTGGGTCCATTTATAAATTGATGAATCATATTTTGATGTTAGTTCTTTGAGTTGTTTCCTACTGGATTTATTTAGCCAATTAACATTAGTGTCTCCATAAATAAGGACCTCTCTTGTTAGGTTTAAAAGATTTGAAAATGTTTTCTAAATTTTGATAGAAAGTTTGTAGGCAACTAGATGGTGGGTTATACACCACAGGGATGTTAAACATCATGCTGCATGTAAAGCAACATTTACACATAGACTTTCAACTGAATGAGATTAATCTAATTGGACTTTCTTGGTCTTAAAGGGGTCTTTAATGTAAACCAGAACTCCTCCTCCTCCTCCTCCTTAGGACAAGTGATCCAAATGTTAGCAGCAGCAGAAGCCACACCAAACAGGTGAATAGCAGGTCTGAACGCTGACGCTGTTTGTTTGCTCCACGCCGGCATTTCACTTGTTGATGTTGTTTGTTCTTCTTACTTGCGGCTTCTGGTTTATTGACATATTCACGTATTTGCTGCTTATTAATCTTGGTGTCAGTAGAAAGTCTATCAGAGTGCAAAAGCAGGAGGAGCACGGAGCCCAACCAACCGTGCGCCATCTTGCTATTTTTGATTAACTGTTCGTCACAAGTTATGTAAAAAAACTTCAACCTGCTTTTGAATTTGTATTTATCGTCTGGGCACCGTGAATGTCAGGACAAAATGTCATGGCAACCTAATCAAATCATCAAACTGTTGTTGAGATATTTCAGTCTGGACCAAAGTGGTGGACACAGCCATCCATAGAGAGATGGCCGTGTCCACCACATGGCTAGCATGGCTTACAATTCCATTATTATTAATTAAATGGTTGCAGATTGATTTTCTGATAATAAACCAATAGAATAATTGTCCAATCATTTCAGCTCTACCAACTGTACATAACCTAAGATTGTGTAATAACTTGCTTTGCTTTTCACTCTAGCGTATACATGTGGTCACTGACATGTTTTCTGTCTCCACAACAGATTTGACACAGTCGATCGTATCATTTCTTTCTAGTTTTTCCAGAAACAGAAGAATAACAGCCTCCTGATGAACTGCACTGAAACCAAAAAGAATTATAGTAGAAAGTTGTCTTCTTGGCATTGATGGAAAACATAACCTGTCAGCTTCATGACTCCTGCTTGTTCTCAGACAACCTCTGCAGTGTTTTTATTGTGGAAATTCTAAGTTGCAGTGATGTAAAGTTCAACAGTAATGTAAGATTAAATACAAATGTGAAATAGACTCACTCCAAAGGTCTGTCGTCCTGGGACATATGGGTGAGTGGCGCTTCAGGCCCAACCACATGTTCGTCCATGCAGGTTTTCTCCACCCACATCACCGCGTTAGGATCCTCCTCCTCTTCCTCCTCTGACTCTTCACTACTAGAGTTGCTGGACTCCTTGCGGCTCTTCTTCGCCTTTTTCTTCTTGGACTTCTTAGACCTGTTAGTAAACACGTAACGGTTGGTTAATCAAAACGTCCCCTTCTGTGTGAATGAAGTTGTCGTGTAGCTGCATATCGGCGCTTACTTTTTGCTCTTCTTTTTCTTTTTCTTCTTCTTTACTTCTTCTTCTGCAAGATAAAAACACAACAGTTCAGCTGGTGAACTGAAAAAGACTGAGCTTTCTTAAATGAATCGTAATTTTGATTGTCTTACCATCTGAATCGGATTGCAGCTCACTATCCTCTGAGTGCTTTTTGTTCTTTCTTTTCTTGGATTTCTTCCTCTTCTTTTTCTTCCTCTTCTCTTCTGCGAATGACAGACAGACTTCCTTGTAAATTCAAACTCCATATAATATTAACGTCATGTATTTATGTTCAAACACGGTATGGGCTGTACCTTCTGAGCTCGATTCTGAGCTGCTGTTTTTCTCGTCTTCAACCGGAGTGAATTCATCAGAGCTGGTGGAGACAAAAGAAAGAGATTCATTTCTGCACCCAAATACAACATATAATCCAATATAGAAAGCCTAAGTCCCTCCCTTCCACTTCTGCCCCGCTGAGAAAATCTGTACAGTAGTCAACAGCGAGAGGCAACAAATGTTTTGATCCCGTTTGAATTGTGCCCCGATTTACACATCTGACATTTATCAATTCAAAATCTAATTTTGTCCATCAAGAAAGTCAGTTTGTCTTAAAACAGTAAAGTAATATTTAGTTTTGTGTATCTCTCATCTCGCACAATATACAACACTAACATGTTAATGCTGTGATGATAGCTAACAGAGGAGAGACTCTTGACTTACTCTGGCTCCTTCACTCTTGGTGAATATCCCCAAACTTCAGGACAACCTAGCTCACCGATCCTCTCCCGCTCCTGCAGACGCCTGTAACAGCAAGACAGACAGATGCAGTCTAAACAAGTTTTCATCCAGGTAACAGGTGACATACGGCTCATGTATTACGCTCAGGGTCACTAGCAGACCCCAAAAAGTAAAATGCACTCTGCACTTTCAAGTTATAGCTCTTTGCCTCTGTCTCACTTCTAGTCAGGGTGATGACAGCTGGCTGATGGAGTCAGAACTATGTTTACAGAACATACAGTCTCTGGAGTGAAAATACATGAGACCATTAGATTTTAACGTGACATAGGTAATGCATTGGAGGCTATTAATGACAGTTAATGATAAACGTGTAGGCAAAGCCCATTCACACTAAGGGAAAGGCAGAGAAATAAATATTTCGGATGAAAGAAGGTTCGGACAGATTTGGTTTGGCAGTACGCTCTGTGTCTGCACACTGTATGCTGTTAGCTGTCTCCTTGGCCGAGCATTAATATACAATGCTGCGTAAGTCATCATGAGTCTCCGAGACCTTCTTCATCACACGTGACACCTGGCTCATTTTATTTTCACAACAAATAACTGGTTGTGTTAAAATAAACGAAGAATAAGTTTTTATGTGGGAAAACCTTTGAGGAATACTTCCTATCGGCTCCTCTATTTGTATAAAACCTGCCTGAAAAAATACATCTCTGTACGATCAGCAGAAGAGCATTCAACAACTCAATTTCAGCAGTGTTGGAAAATACCCGCATTGATATTTCGATAATGATTTCAACCTAGTCCTTGTCAAGAGAACGTTTGACTAATACGGCACATTTGTCAAGAGACGAGTTGTCTGAACATTTAAAGTAAGCAAGCTCTTTTAGGATACTTTTTTCACAGCTTTTGACGGCAGGTAATGCTGAAACACATACAGCAGCCGAAAGCAGAAAATCAGTCTGTGACCCTAAAGACTTGCTGGTTACAGATTTACACCATTCTAAACTTCATACTCAAAGTCTTCTAGCCGTCTGTCTGATTAAGGCATGTTTCTTTGGGCTGTGGAAAGCAAAATATCACAGTTAACTGTGTCGAAACCCTTTGAAAGATCGAGAAATATTCAAAGGGATTATTTGCCATAAAGCGCAGTTTCCATGCACAGATTATATTATTCTTTTTCAGATGATTTATAAGTCCCTTGAAAAATTTTTTTTTTTTTGAAAAAGCGTATGAGAATTTTGACTGCGTGATAATCAGAAAAATTGAGGGATCCTCCGCTTTAAATAATGAAATGACTTTAGCTAACTTTAAAAGTTCAGGCCCAATAGCAACGCTACAAAAACGCGAGTCAAGGGTTTGATTATATCGTATTTCTCAACATGTAAATTTGTTTATTTGTGTAGGATTACAGATTCTAAGTTTAAGGAGGCGTTGGTAAAAATTTTTATTTAATCTGTTTTTCTATCTAAAAATATTTTGTAAAAAAGGAGTGGGATGTGGCTTATTTGGGTCTAACCTATTGTTATTTGATTTTTTGAGACAATGCAAAAGAATATTCATAAATGTCGTTTCAAAAGGCCGTTCCCAAAAAGCAACAGCATTTTTTTGTAAATGTCTCCTCATGATTACTATTATCAAGCTTTGATTTTTGCATTTGTTACCTGGCAATAAAAGCCTCCTGTCTCTGTCTCTGAGCATCGTCCCTCTGCTGCTCGTAGTAGTAGTCGTCTTTGGAGCTCCCGTGTTTTCCCGGAGCGTCGCGCTGCTCGGGCCAGTGGTTGTGGCTGCTGCTGCTGCTGCTGTTGTTGGTGTTGTTGTTGTTGTTGGTGTGCCGCTCTCTGGACCGGGACCGTGACCGGCTCCGGTGGGGGCTTCCTATGCGGATCCGTCTGAGGGTTTTTGCCTCTTTGAATCGGCGCTCCCGCTCCTCGCATTCCCTCTCCCTGTTGCGTGGCTTCGGGAGTTTGGGGCCAAAGCTATCCGGAGACAGGCTCCGTTCACGGCTGTCCCCGCGGTTGCGGCTGCGGGAACGAGTCCGGGGTCTCCGGCTCCGAGGGCTCCGAGGCTCCCCGCCGCCGTCAGAGCTCGAGCGGTCAGACATTGGCATACTTACTGACTGCTTCAGACTCACACGGACACTATGGGACACACTAGATAACACGTTCAGATTAACGGAGATATTAACATGCGCTCATGTTTCTCTCTTTTCTGTAGTACGCAATCAAAGCGTCTAATAACAGGAAGTCCCGATCCGTCCGTTCCCAAACAGAAACCGGTCTTCCTGAACACGTATAAGCACAAAGTTCCGCTTGAACTTTGTTACAAGACATTTTAGTATGTCTAATAAATATAAAAAAGTTTCTGAAGAGTCCAATTATTTATTTATTACCTGCAGCCTCTTAAAAACATATTATTTAGAAACTCTAGTTTATACTGACTGTTAATGGTTGTCACTATTTTAAGACATTTAGCTAAATAAGATCTACTTGTTTACATTATAACGTTACAAATGCATTTTGTGTCATGTGGACAATTTATAGTAAACATAAATTATTTTATTATTTAATTACAGACTTTGTTTTATAACTGCATCAGGTATTTGTTGTGTATTTTATGTGCTCATTATTTTTATGTGTTCTGATGTCTGAAAAGCACATCATGTTGTGCTTTAACACTTTGACATTACCTGTTTTGTTTGTTATCACGACAGTAGCTGTTTCAGTACTTCAGTCTTCAATAAGTGATTCATTGACAATGCGAGCACAAACTGCAAACAAATGGCCTATGTCTTGAAAATTGTATGTTGTACACAGCCAACACAAAGGTAGGACATGTTACAGAGCAAGATGAGAAGAAATATTAAATTGCTTAGCTTAATGAAATATTAAGGTATGTAGGTATTTGATATTGAGTTCAGAGTCAGTAGGCTACTTTTTGGGGTGTAAGTTTACCTGACATATTATAAAAAGAGAAATAGATATTTATTTGTCCTTTTCTTGTTGTTGTTTTTCAAATCAAAGAGATTTCAGACTTAATGTTTGCATTAAGAATTTGCTTGCTCTTTAGTGTTTGGGACCCTCTTAACTGGATATGCTTTATTGCCCCAAATCACATTAATTCATTCATGCTAATATTTCTTCAACAAAGGTGAACTACAGAACCATGTTAACTGTTACCGTGCTTGCCATGTGGTGCTGTTAACATAAGCTCAAAACGGAATAACACATGAAGGCAAAGCCCAAAATAAATGGGGATTCAAACTATGTTTCTTTGCAGACTTGAACATTGTTCCATTGCTGGTTGTAGACTGTGACTCCACTAAAAAGGAAAGGGGTGGTGGCCGGATACAAATTCACACAGAAACTGAATGGGTGGTAAGGATCCTTCATGTTGACATTGTAAGCACTCACTTATGCTGCATCAAACAGGTCCAAGACGTACCAATGGTTTATACATAAAATGACAGCCACATTTTGTGATGCAGCTATTGACATCACAACCACAAAGGGGCAAATCAATCAAAATTAGAAATGGCTCTTTCTGAGATGCAAGCCATGATGTTAGCTCACTGGAAAGAAGCCAGTATGAATGAAGAGTATGAGAGATTGAATTGGGTGGGAGCTGTGTACTCTGGTAGCAACAGTTTCATGAGTGAGCACAGGAGTGCACAAGTGCCACTTTGGTGGACAGAAGCAGTTTCAACAAATGACACATAAGATCTGATGAAGCATGCACTGGACAGATGCATCAAACAAAAAATATAAAACAGACTAAACACTATACACACCAATCATTAATAGTAAGTCCATTGAGACAAAATAGTTGCAAATAAATTGAGGAGATGAGGAAGTTGAAATAAAAAATAAAACACAAAAATTGCCTGGTCTGGTGGGTATGCATATGCCCTCTACTGGTTGAAACTTGGCTAGTGCAATTGAATTTTGCTGTTGGCTGATCTGTGGCTAAACATTGTACACTGGATGATCCTCATTTTGCATATCACTCTTGGGCTTCCTACCCTTTTAGAGTGTCAGGGGTCAAGCCAATAATAGACCCTGCCTTACTTTTCAGTTTATTTTTTCTGGTTCTTGTCCTCGTCCTCCTTAAGCCACAAAAAACTGCATAAAATAGGACACTTGCTAAAATGCTTTCATAAACACATGCAGGAGTGAACTGCTGCCATTAAAAGGCTGCAGCTTCCTGTAAAAGATGGCACTGGTGTTCTCTTTCCAGACCAGCCTGTTATTCACAAGGACACCGAAGTGCAATTAGAGGAAGCTTCATCTTTAATCATGACATTGGGGGGGTCACCACAGCCTTTTTCTTTCTGAAAATCAATGATAACATCCTTGGTCTTAGTTTATCAAACCAAAGATGATGTTCATGTTGGGTCTACTGATACATTTTCCTAAATGTTGGAATGGCAAAGTCAAAACAAATACCCACTTTGCTACAAGCAGTCTGGGTTTCATCATTGCATGACATTTTCAGATCAGAATTTTTTTTGTCAGCAATATCTATCTATTGTTTGGTTCTGACATGGATGTAATGTTGCTTCATCATTTCCCAGCAATTTCCCATAATGAGATATCTGAATAAATAAACAACCCATCCTGTCATTATCGAGTTTTCCAGGTATTCCTAACATTATATTCTTTTAAGATATGTTTTTTATTTATTTACCTGCACTCCTTCAATATTCCTTCATATGTCTTCCCATAAACCCCGTTTGCCCCGGCCTTTCTGTGTGGAGTTTGCATGTTCTCCCGTGTCTGCGTGGGTTCTCTCCGGGTGCTCCTGCTTCCTCCCACCATCCAAAGACATGCATGCTAAGTTAATTGGTGTCTCTAAAATTGTCCTTAGGTGTGAATGCGAGTGTGAGTGGTTGTTTGTCTATGTTTGGCCCTGCGATAGACTGGCGACCTGTCCAGGGTGTACCCCGCCTTTCGCCCAATGTCATCTGGAATAGGCTCCAGCCCCCTGCAACCCTGTGCGCAGGATAAACGGTTGATGATGGATGGATGTCTTCCCTTGGTTAGTTTTCTTATCTCCATGTTCCACATACATTTTCAACTTTTGTCAACTTTTTTGAATTCATATGACACACTAACATGCTGATAGACAAGATAGCATATCCTTAAACCTCAGAGCCTTACAATATTGATAGTTAAGTATAGGCATATTTATAGGTAATACATTTTACACTTTTGAAATAGCTTGACAAAATGATTGTGGCAAGAACATTTGTTGTAGTTAAGTTAAATAAATATCTGGATGTCAACTGAAAGTAATATAGGACTTATTGGCTTACTTGAAGTCATGACTGTAATGTCCCCATTAAACTATCAGTAGCTGATGTGGGAATTTCACATATGTTTTTATGAAAATTGTTATCCACATGTAATCCATGCAATTAACCACTTTGACACAGTTCTAATAAATTTTCATGCTACAATCCCCAAAAATGGATAATTTACCCACCCAACTCAACGTTTGACCCCATTATTCAAACAGGAATGCATTATCAGTGCATTAATTTGTTGTAGTTAAGTTTTATTAGTTTTTTTATGGAATTTTTAAAATCTACCTACCTACAAAGCAATTAGAGCTGCAATGATTAATCAATTACTGCCAACTATTTTGATGATCGATCAATTGGTTTTAGTTTTTTTTAAAACAGTCAAAATTCTTTGATATCAGCTTCTTAAATGCGAATATTTTCAGGTTTCTTTGCTCCTTGATGACAGTAAACTGAATAACTGTGGGTTGTGGACGAAACAAGACATTTGAGGACGTCATAGGCTTGTAAAGTGCTGAAAACTGCAATTAGGCTGTGTTGTAATGGCGAGAGTGGTTAATATGGCAAAAGTTGGTAACATTAGCCTTATATGTAAATTTCAGAGCTGTTGTTGCGGTTTATGTAAATTGTTTTTTTGGTTAGAATATCTGTTTGACTGACTGCATATTTAACATCTATTAACATGGTTGTTTTCAAAAAAAAATAATTGTGGATAGACTAGAATATGACTGATTATTATTATACTGAATAACCAGTATGATTTGAGTCTCTCTGACCTCTTTTATGTGTATTTTTTAAAACATTTTTTTATTTTGATAAAGTGTAAAAACATTACATAGATTTTAAGTTTATATCAAAAAGGATCTTGTTTTTTCTTGCTTCTAGGAAAGTGTACTTGGGATAGAAGTCACAAACATCTATCCTTCTATTCCGTCAATGTTTTTTCCCCAAATTAAATTCCTGATTATTCATTAAAATCACATTATTTAGTTCCATACCTCAGCAACCCCTAAACCTTGTTTACACATATCACCCCCCCCCCCCCAAATAAAAATAATAAACTGATCCTTAAGTGACATCTACAACAGGAAGTGACATCATCGAAGTCTTCTGAACAACATTGTGCACACATTTAACCACATTTCAGTCATTTATATTGTGATATTGTGGTCGTCAAGCTTAACAACTCAACCTTGTTACAATTTGTAGATGTGAAAATGATCTTTGTTAATTCAACCACAAATATGATTTTTTAATCTTATGCATGCCATGTGCTCTCCTGTTATGAACCACATGTAGAGGAGCAGCCATCTTTAGCAAAAAATCACAACCCTGTCACACTCAACCCCGTTACTTATATTGTGACGGGTTGTGTTAACACTTTGGTTGTGAAGTTATCCAATTATTTAAATTAATTATTATATTTGATTAACAGTCTTATACCACATGCATGTGTTTAATGTCATCTTAACAAATTTTTGATTTAAGTATATCAATTTAAACATTTACAGACATCTATGAGTCTATGATGGCATCAACAACAGTGGCAGAAAGGCAGAGGCAGTATCGTGCACGCCTAAACGATGATCCTGAAAGAAGGGAGAAATACCTGCAGAATGAACGCCAGAGATGGAGAAAAAATACAGAGACAGGGGAACAAAAGAGAATCAATGACTTAAGTGAAAGAGAACAGCAGCAGAAGCGTATAAAGTGGAGAGTGGCTTACAAAAGAAGCAAGGAAAGAAGAGAAGTACTGACGAACTTAACCACTTCTCCACAAAGTCCAAATCATGCCCCTGAGAAGTTTAACTGCAAGCTCTTCAACACAGTGTTTAGCTGTGCCACAGCCAGCCAGTGAAGGGAATCCACCGCCAGAAAAGGAAATCCAGTGGGGAA